AAGATTTCCTCCCCGCCTTTTTTTTTATGGCTGAGTAGTATTCTGTTGTGTAAATGTATCACAGCTCTTTTATCCACTCATCTACTAATAGACACTTGGACTGCTTCCAAATCTTGGCTATTATAGATAATGGTACAATGAACCGAGGAGTGCATACATTCTTCTGAATTAGTATTTCGGTTCTCCCATTCAGTGGGTTGTCTTTTCATTTTGTTGATGGTTTCCTTTGCTGCACGAAAGCTTTTTGGTTTGATGTAGTCCCATTTTTTTCTCTTTTGTTTCTTTTGCCCGAGGAGATGTATCAGACAAAAAAATAATGGCACAAGAAATATCTGAGATCTTACTACCTGTTTTCTTCCAGGCTTTTTATGATTTTGAGTATAACATTTAAGACTTTAACCCACTGGAGTTTAGTCTTGTATATGACAATAAGAAGGCGGTCTAGTTTCAGTTTTTTGCATATATGTCCAATTTTCCCAACAGCATTTTTGAATAAACTATCTTTATCTTTAGCCCATTGTATATTTTTGCCTCCTTTGTCAAATATTGATTGGTTACAAAAATGTGGGTTTATTTCTGGGCTCTCTATTCTGTTCCATTGATCTATTTTGACTATTATGGGCTTTTAGTATAGTTTGCTTTTAAATATTTTTAAGTTGGCAATCCTTTATTTATTGTCTCTTTTAAAAACGGTATTGATTGGTGAAATCTAAAAGCCTGGAAATCACCATTTTATAGGGCCAGTAGAGAGCAAGAAAATGGAAATTTGGGATAAGATAACTAATGGAGCAGGGTCTTGGAAGACAAACTCTAGAACACAGGGAGCAGTGAGATTTGAAAAACAGGGCAGACATTAAGCACAGGAGGAATTATAACTACATTTAGAGATGATGGTAAGCAAAATTTCTCTGGTAACTAAAAAGCAAGATCATATTAACTCAAAATAAACCTGGTAGTAGCAATTAGGTTTAATAAATAAATAACATAGAACAGTGAAAATCTGGAGGAACTTTTGCAAAGAATGGGAAAAAAAATAAATCCAGCAATGAAGTGACAGAATAAAAAATGAAGATGGTTCCAACACCAAGCATCACATGAAGTCAAAGAATTAGTTTAGTGGAAGTAAAGGAGTAAAAGATGTATATAGAAATATAGGAGATGTGGTCAGAAGGTAGGATTCCTGAATTTATGATGTCAAAACCAGAGTAAAGGCTCATTCACTGATGATGATGATACTAATATTGACCATTCTTTAAGCACCCTAAAAATTAATTATATCTAATCATAACAACCATTAATACCAGCAGCATATTACAAAGGAGAGACTGAGGCCATAATAAATTTTTAACAGAACTCATTTTTGTTTCATTTTGACTTAAAGAGATGCTTCTGAAATTCATATAGAGTAGTAAAGAACCTTGCATTCCCAAGATAATTTTGAAGAAAATACATGAATATTAACTGTTGTTAATATCCTGCTGGGAATTAATACCTATTTTAAAGATGCAGCAACTATGATAGTGTGATAATGTCATACAAAAAGACCAATGGGAAACAGTAAACAATCTATGGATGTGTGGAAAACTGGTTTGAGATTAGTGACATTACAAAGCATAAAAGAAAAGTTAAACCATTCAATAAACGCTGCTAGCACAATTAACTGTTCATATGTAAAATAAATAAAATAAAATTAGATCTCTACCTCATGCACCAAAAAAAAGGTTGATAAAAAACCTAAAGATGAAGAAAATCTTAAGACTTTTAGCAAAAAGATAAATGAATATCTTTGTGATTTTGAGGTAGAAAAGGATTTCTTAAACAGGACTCCCCAAAACACAAAATATAAAGGAAATGATGAATAAATCTGACTACATACAAACTAAATTTCAGTATAAGACAAGACACCATAAACAAAGGTCAAAGAAAAGGCACAGACTGGAAGAAGATATATAGAAGTCATACAAATATAAATATGGTATTTTTATACAGAAAACATAAATCAGTGACAAAGATGAGCAAAGCAATTGCAAAATGGGCAAAGAAGCCCAGAGATGCCCAGGAAACATTTGGGATTACAAATCTGGACTGAGGATAGAGATTTGGGCTACATCAATTCACTGATCATATTTGAATTCATGGGATTCGATGAGCTTATAGAAGGGAAGCATGCAAAGAAATTAGACTCTAGGCCTAGCTGGGACAAAAAGCAGACAATAGATTACTGATCCTCACTCAAGTTTTAACAGTAAATTTAACACCTTTAATTTAACAGTAAATTTAACACCTTTAACTTTATTCACACATTGAGTATTTTGTCTGGCCTTTTTGGACCACAAGGTATCTTTATGTTTTTTTTAAAAAATTTAGTCTAAATATAAGATTTAATATTAATAAAACCAGATTTTTTTAGATACTATGTCAGAAGGTAGATAAGACTGTCACTTCTGTTTAGGCCCATTATCTTCAGCCCATTTCATATACTGCCAAGAAGACAGGGGTGTGGAAATGAAATACAAATTTAAAAATGTGAGTAAACTGGATATAAATTTAAAGTAAAGGGTATCTAAGAAAAAAATCCCCTATAATCCACAATAAAGATTTTTTTAATTGATGGGGTTAGAAGCTCACCTTTTATACATTAGCATAGCTCATATAATGCATCATAAATGCCTAATGAAGGCAACCACATCTCTAAATTAAAAAATAAAAAATGTTTCATTCATCATCCAGACTTCCAATCACTACATTTCTTCTACTTGGAAATAGCAAAGCAGCTATCCATATAAATGGCTCAGGGAAAGTCAGTCACACACACGTATACAAAAACTACATATTGCATAATTCTTTTTATATGAAGTTCAAGAATCTGCAAGCAAGATAGAATAATGGTGCCTAGAAGGGGCACAAAGAAACTCACTGGGATGGTGGATATAGTCTGTCTATCTGTCTATCAATCATCTGTCTATACCTACCTACCTACATACCTGGGTGGTGGTCACCTCCAACTGCACATTTGGCACTTGAACATTTTACTGTTATTTCTCTTAATTGAGGTATATATATTTTAATTCCTTTAAAGAAAAACTTCTTAGAAGCCTTAAGAATCTTACTCAACAAAGCTTGTTTTATCCTTGTCAAAACCACAAAGCCCCTACCCTGGCTGGTGTGGCTCAGTGGATTGAGTACCAACCAGCCTGTGAATCAAAGGTCACTGGCTGGTCCCCAGTCAGGGTACACGCCTGGGTTGTGGGCCAGGGAACCAGCTGGGGGTGTGGGAGAGGCAACAGATTGATGTTTCTCTTACACATAGATGTTTCTCTTCTTGTTTCTCCCTCCCCCTTCCCTCTAAAAAAGTAAATAAAAATACAATCTTAAAGAAAAACCCTAACCCCCTCCCGCCCCCCCGCCCAAAGCCTCTTGTTATATTTAGTGGCATTCTTCAAAGCTTTTCTTTCCCTACTAGGCCCCACTCCCAACCTTTGTCTACCTCAACCATCTCCCAAAAGGTGTCACTATATTTGATTAGCAGAGAATAAAGATAATGGCCAATGGAACAGTCCACAGGACAAAGATGTTTGAAATCATCATATTCAGGATAAACTAGCTCTAGGGTCCTTCTTCTTCCAAACCAAAAGAAAGCTTGCAAAAGGAAATTGAAAGGAAATCATAATATGCACGCCAACCTTTTAATCACCACTTTGTATATCACATTTATATTGCTCAAGCTCATGAACTGTGAACCTGTATCTAAATATCTTCATAGAATTTCCATTGTAATTGTACTTTGACAATTCTGAACAGGGTAAAATGATATATAATCAGTTTATTTAAATTCCAATTAATTCTCTTACTGATAGTTATTTTTTTAGGCAGTGACCATAACAAACATTAAACTCAAACAACCCAACAAAAAATTGCTTTAAATAAATTATCTCCCTTTCTCACTTTAAAATGAAAATACCAAGGGAAAAAATATAAAAAACAAGAAACGTATTTATTACAACTGGCTGTTTATATTAAGTCAAACTAAATGAAAACTGATCAAAGTTGGCAAGTGAAGATCGGAATTATAATGAGACACTGAATTAAGGTCACGACATACACAACACGTGATCAAGTATATTACTTGGGATATTTTACTTCAAAATAAAAACATGAAACAAAGTCATGTCAACTAAGGTGTTTCAATGGAGTAAAGCTATCTCTTTGCATTCCTCGATTTTTAAAAAGATGTTAATAAAAATAACAAAAATGAAAGATCTTGACAGATACTTTAGATTGTAGGAGCCCAGCAACAACATATAAAGGAAACCCTAAGGCTTTCTATTTTTTTACTATGCCCCAAGTTCTAGTAAAACGAAAAAAGAACTGAGCTGCAGAAGGAATTGAAAGTATCTAAGGAAGAACTATCACGGGTCTTGTCTGAGTAGGAAAAAACTCAGGGCCTTAGGGCAAGGTTGCACTAAATTACGGAGGTGCAGAGCTGTAAGCATTTTAGTTTAGGTAAAGTATTTTAACTTTCTTAAAAAAACCTGTATTGCAGGAGTGAGGGAGCAGAGTTAGGCACCGTGGGGGTGGCGGTCCTCTTAGGTGAGTGTTCAATTCTACAGCACCCAGCCTTTTTTTGGGAGAGGGCAAGAACAGAGGGGCAAAAATAAACAAGGGAAGAACCTCACTTTTGAAAGGCACTTTCACGTTACAGAGCACTCTCACGTGATTTAGCTCATCCGACACAATATCCTTTCTGCAAACCTCCAGCATTTACGGACATAAAAAGTCCAATACGAAGGCCCTCTTCAAAACCCAGACCCTGGGAGATCCCACTATACACCCGTTCCCCGACCCCGAAGCCCACGGCCTTCCTAGATCCCCCGTCCTCCCGGCCGGCGTACACGTCACTCGCCCGCTGCCAATCAGCGCCAGGCAGGTCACCTCCTCCCCGGCCCCGCCGCCCCGCCGCCCCGCCCGCCGCCGGTAACTGGACTTCAATTGCTCGCTGGCTAACTCCGTTTTCCGCGCATGCGCAGCAGCTCGGCTGGCGAGGCAGAAGCTCCCGAGCGGACGCTGCCGGCGAGGATGGTGCTGGAAAGTGTAGCCCGCATCGTGAAGGTGCAACTCCCCGCCTATCTTAAGAGGCTCCCAGTCCCGGAGAGCATTACGGGGTTTGCCCGGCTCACAGGTAACCCACACCTTTAGCGGGTGCCCATCTTCTGCTCTTTCAGGGCGGGGGCGGGGCTGGGGAGGTGGGGGACGCTAAACGTCTTCGGGTCAAGGGGCGGAGCGGAGCTCGTGGAGTGGCGCGGCGCCTTGTGACCCTGCGAGCGTGCGCCGGCGCAACTTCCTTGGAGCGTGTGTGCTGCCGCCTCTTCGTTACAGGGTCTTTCAGGGTGCTTGTCCTCGTCTTTGCGTCCCGCGTTTTTTCGTGATGCGAGACCGTTTTTTTTCCCCCAAGAAGGTGCTAATTTGGGACCTAGATCGTCTTAGCCATTGCCATCACTCTCCGTTGTTTGCTTTATTTTAAAGCAGAATAAGTCGTCGTTATCCAACCCGCTGTGTATCAGGCAACAACAGCTCTCTGCTGGATTTTGCCGTCAGCGTGTGGGTGTGAGTGTGTGCGTTTGGGAGAGAAGCACAGGCATACACAGAATATGTATAAGGTAGTTTTGTTTAGTAAGAAGACTAGAAAATGATCTCTATTCCTATAGGGGAGAGATTACCTATCAAGAGGGAATTTGAGGTCGCCTCCATTGCTATGGGCGTGGAGGCAGTTGAGGTAAACTCACGTTCTACGAGAGATGCATTAGCCAAGTGTTCTTAGGCCAGTACAATGGCCCAAATTTTAGAAATGAAACTTAACGAATGTATGTGACGTTATGTACTTAAGGTCCCTCCTTTACAAAAAAACCAGCAACAAGAAACACCCACAACTCAGGACTTAAAGTCTAAAGAGTAAAGTTATCCAGAATGAAGGCAATGCTTGGAAGATTTTGTTGTATTCTGAGCATTACAGTGTAAGTGAGATATTTGTATACGAGATTTGAGAGATAGATTAGGATGACAAGGGGAAAAAAGCCATATTGATTCAGCAAACATTGAACTCATGTTCTGAGTGTCGAGGGTGTTAAGCATGAATTACAAGTAATTTTGACGTTAAGAGGCTTGCTTAGCTTGGAGCAGTCTGGAGATCTGTTATCTGACTTAAAATACAGCAATTGGAAGGCTGACTGGATAATTTATTTTGTGTAGACCAAAAGACAACTAGGACTAAATTAGTGAAAATTGTTTGCAAATGGATGTCAACTCCAATATAAGGAAGTTAAATTTTTTTTTTTCATTATCTAAAACTTTCCCCAAATAGGGTGCCTGGGGAGATAGCCTCTCTCAGAGATTTAAGAAAGAAAAAAAAAAAAGGTCAAAGTCTGGTAGGCAGATAGGTTTAAATGGGGAAACTAGATGACTGTTATACATCTAGAGATTTTTTTGGATTATGGACAGAAACAGTTGCTCTGTAGATAAATGAATTGTGAGATGTTAACATTTTAGATGTTAAAGGTTTGGTAATTGAATAGAAACCGTGGTAACTGAATAATGGGCATTAAAAAGAAGTACCTAAATATCAGAAACCACAGAAAAGTAACATAAAATGAAAAAACTGTTTTAAGACAAGTGTTTATAAACATCACTGTCATCTTTTGATCCCACCAGTTTATTCCGATAGAATTGCAGCAATTATGTATAAAAACTCTTTTTCCCCGTTATCATTTCTTTTACTTAAGTACTTTATATATTAATTTATTCTTCATCTTGTTTTAATAAGTATGTAATCATATTTTAAATTAAAGTCACAGTAGGCCTAACCGTTTCCCTGCCGCTGGAAATTTGGAATGTTTACATAAATATGTTTTTTGTTCATAATGTTTAGTGGTAAGTAGCCATGTACCAATGCCAGTTGTTATTTTTGTCTCTTTTGAGTTATACCCTTGGGTATATTCAATAAAATAATAATACCAAGTCAAAAGGATATGATTATTTTGTGACATTTGTTCCATTTGCCAACTTACCATGTTAATAATTTTCATAAGTTAACTGCTGAATTTGTAACAGTCAAGAAAGAAAAATGGCCTCTTAATTCCCTCCCCAGTCCTGAACTGTGTGTGTTAATTCTGATGGTGGATGGTTTTATGTGTTTCACTTTTCTGTTGATAGTGTATAGTTGAAGCAGATTAGAAAATATGATATTTGATTTAGTGGCCAGAATGTTTTACAAGTGTGTTTTTTTCTTGAAGATCCCTCATGTCAACAAATATTTAATTTCTATTAAAGGCAGTAAGGAAACTCAACCTAAATTTTTCCTTAAATCAATAATATATACTAACTTTCTTTTTCAAGCTCTTAAATATTTAATGTGAGTACTGTTTCTCAGAAATGTGAAAACTCTGGTAAATATATTAATGGTACATATTTAACTTAAGTCCCATTACAGTGTCTACATTTCTCATTGTATTGCTTATTTGTTTAGGAAACATTAACATGAACGTAGTAACTGCTTTATGGAAAAAAAAAAAAGAGAAATCCAGTTTCATACTAGACAATGAAAATTGTAGCAGTTGTGGAAGTACCATGGAAGAAAAGCAGTTTTCACTAGCTAATGTCAAATAGCTAATGACATTGGGCTCTCTTGAATGAGCTACTTTTTGAATCCATACTTAGGCTTTGTTGAAATAAAAACCTGAAAGATAACTTTCAGCTATTGTGTAAATGTCTAGGAGACAGAAATGTTTTCATTTTCTACCTGAAAATTGGGACAAAAAAGTTACAGTTCACATTATTGCCTGTTTTTCCTTTCCTATTTAGATCCAGTGGTTTAAAAAAACAAACAAAAAACAATTGACTCTCTCATGATGACTCTGCATTCTTAATTAAACACTTGGAGATCCTTTACTGTAGTGTTTACAGACAATCCTTATCTAGCAAAAACAACCTATCTGTTTCAGTCTAGGTCACATTTTTAAGAGTGAGGCTTTTAAGATAAATTTGTATAGTGTATTCTAATACTTTGACCTTTGGAAAAATCTTTCCCTGTTATATAAACTTTTAAAATAGAACAACAAAAAACATCTTCCCGTTCTGAAGTCAGAAAATTATGTATTTCTATATTTAAAAGCTAGCTATGAAATTTTGAATATTCAAAATTCTCCCCCACTTGCACTAGTGTGCCTCTTTGAAATGGAATGAGTTTGATCCTAAACACAATGTTTTTCCCAAAGAAACACAAACATGTCAGAGCTGACAACTTGAAGAGCATTAGCTAGCTCTGTTTATCTTGAAAGGGCCAATTTTGAACAGAGAATTTGTTGGAAGTGCAATAGAGTTGAAAACATGTGCCCACAAAAAGACAAGCGTGTTCATAGCAGCCTTTAATTTATAATAGCCCTAAACTGGAAGCAACCCAAGTATCTACCAACAGGAGAATGGATAAACAAATTATGGTATATTCATAGAGTAGAATACTAGTTAGCAATAGAAAGGGATGAATTACTGATCCACTGAAGAATCAAAAAACTTTACTTTGAGTGAAAAGAGCTTTGGTTATAGAAGTCAGTGGTGGGAGATAGACTAGAAAGGGGCAGGGGAATCTTTCTGGGATGATGGGAATATTTTACATATTTTTACAGGGTCGTATTTAATTGTCACAAACCAGAATTAAATGCTTAAGGTCAGTTTATTGTATATAAATTGTACCTTATTTTTTTAAACAAATGGAACCAAAGTGAGTTTTCTCAATAAGAAAATGTAATAAATAAGTTCAAACTGAAGTTTCATTTATTGACAAGTAAATAATAAAGGGTATTTCTGAAAGAAGAATTTTACGTTAGAAAACTTTTTTTTAGAGAATTTGGGAACATACTTACATTATTCTTATAATTTCTAAGTGTTTTTTCCCCTCTTCATAATTGGACCAACTATACTTAAAAGTTAATATAATTAAAGATTATATTAGCCTGTGTAGGGAACAGTTTTGATGAATTAAAACATTTTCATCCATATAACTACTTTGCAATATAAAATTCCTCAAGTCGTCAGGTATTTATTGAGTCCTTGCAATGGGCTAAGCAGTATTCTGGGTACAGCGATGCTGTTCTGTTCATAAGAGTGAATGGAAAAAAAGATTTAAAAATTGATAATTACTTTCATTGTATTGGCCCTCTGGTCTTGAATAGGCTGTATTAGGTTTGAAGTGGTAGTAGTAAAGCCATCCATGGAAAATATTTTACTTTCATCTTTCTACAATTCAGAAGTAGAAGTCATTTGTATGTCTTTACCTGTAAATGATACATAAGAAAATTTATAAAATTATAAGCAATGAAATTGCCATATTATCTTTATGGTGTCATTGTATGCTACCTTTTGAAAGGGGAAAAAGTCTGTCCTAGTTCCTTAGGATATAATTCTTCATTGAGAAATGTCTTTACCATTGTATTTGTTTATATACCTTGAGCAAGGATAGGATGTGATGCTCACCCATCTAAATAAAATGTTTAATCTGCCCCTTCTTAATTCTATTTCTTCCAAGGAAATACTTTCTTTTAACAGTATGTAAACTTTCAGAAAATTGTTGTTATTAAATTACTTGCTACTCAAGTTGCTTTGAAATGTTCTTTCTGTTAAGTATGGTGCTGATTCTTTCACTCTACCTTTTTAGTCTTTGTATTTCCTTATCTTAATAGTGTGAAATAGAATTGAGCAAAATTTAATATTAGAACCCTGTTCAGTATTGATAGTATTAATGTAGTTACATTTTTTAAAAAATTAGAAACAGGATTAAAACAACAACTGGAAATAGGAAGACATCACTGATAGAGGAAGAAAATCTATCAGAAGTGAAAATATTGAACTAAGGGAAAAATTTTAAAGAAATTTAACCCTTTTACATTCAAATGAGTAAAAAAGCATTGCCAACTGGGTGCCTTTCCAGGGATTGAGCGTTGAGGTCCACCAGTTCCATCTTTGACTTAAATGTGGCCAAAATTCAACTCTTCTTTTTGCAACCTCTGATTTTCCCCCACACTTTCATCTTCAAACTTTGGCTTGTCTTCTAAAACTTGTAATATTTGAGGAACCTTCTTGCCATAAGTGAAACAAAGCTCTCTCTGAGGATAGTACTAATCCTCTACCTCC